ACTAATTTAAAAGGCTCTTGCTCTTAAAACAAGAAACCAGTGCTCCCAGCCCCTTACTAAACAGGGAAGCCACGGTCAGAAGCACAATGGCTGTGACGATCCTACTTTGGACCACGAGAGGGAGCCCGAAGAGGCTACCTCTGCAGAACTGAATTGCTAAGAAAAGACTGAGGGTGTGTTGTTTAAAAAAAGAAAAGAAAAAAAGAAGAAAAAAACCCAAAACAAAAAACAAAAAAACCTTTGCTTGCTCCCAAGATCTGCTTCTAATTATATGTAGGACTAGACTCAACCACACACGTTTCAGCCTGTCCTAAATGGCCCAGGCTCCTTTTTCACCCTCAAAGCAGTCAAGCCGCAAGCTTTGCACTTTCAGACCAGAGAAGTGGAACGAAGAGTCACCGATACCGTGTCCCACCCCCAACCCCCTGTCACCTCCTGGAATTGAGAGCAGCTTAGGTTAACCTCTGTCAACTGTCCTAACTCCTGATGGCTAAGGCAAAGATGTGACGCAAATGCTTTTCTAAATTCTTCCAAGAGTAATTATGTAATTACCGTTTCCTCGTCTTGTGTTAGAGGCTGGCAAATGAACCTCTTTCCCCCACATCAAAGTAGGAACAAAATAATTTGGAGTTCATGTAATGAAAACCTCAATTTTTGAGGGTCTAAAAGCCCTTTTAAGAAAAATTTATAAGGGAGGTACATTTTGGAGACATTTTTAGCTAATCTTATTAAAGCAACCTAAGGATATAGTAATAACCATTAAGAGACTTTTCTTTTTCCTCCATTTAATCCTTCTTACATCTAAATCCAGAAGCTGAAAACGGTGGAGTAGCTAGAAAAAGATTCACTCATATATTCACGGAGTAAACTTTTTTCCTTTTAGCTCTTCATTTTAAAATAATTTCAGACTAACAGAAAAGTTGCACAAATAACACAAAGAATTTCTGAACTTTATTTTCCCAGATTCCGAATATTAATCTTTTACCACGTTTGCTCTTTCCTTTCCTCTCCTCTCTCACAGTTTTCTGAACCATCTGAGTCCAAAGCAGTCCACTGCGTATTTCCTAAGAACAAGACCATTCTTTTCCATAACTGCTGTACAATAATCTGGATCAAGAAATTAACATTAATACAATATTATTTTCTAATCTACAGACTTTATTCAGGTTTTCCCAGTTGCCATTAATATTTTAAAAGAAATCCCCTGACGATAAGTGGCATTCAGTTGCCATAACTCTTCAGACTGCTTTAAACTGAAAACATTTCTTGGTTTTGCTTTGTTTTTACCTTTATTTTTTTGATATTGCCATTTTTGAAAAGGACAAGCAGAATTTTTGGTAGAATGTCAGTGTTTGGGTTTGTCTGATGTTATTTCATGATTAGATTCAGGATGTGCATCTTTGTTCAGAATACCATAGAAACGATGTTGTGTCTTTCTCAGTACATTACATGGTACCACACGATGCTGACTTGTCCTGACATTGATGATGTTCACTTTGATCACTTGCTAACAGTCAACAGACTATTAAAGCTATAAAATCTATTACATATTGACATACATATTGAAATATGATATAGAAGTTAAATAATATAATATTATATAACACAATAGGAAATATGCTATGTTAGTGGTACTTAAACATCTGGTCTCATCTCAGAAATACTTTACACTCAAACATTATTGAGGGTCTCAAGGAGCTTTTGTTTATTTTGTCTGTCAGTAATTACTATATTAGAAATTAAAACAGAAATTTAAAAATATTGACTTCTTAATTTATTTAAAAATAATGATGAACCTGTTACATAGTAGCATGAATAACGTATGTTTTATGAAAAACAACTATATTTTCCCAAACAAAAAATAGTGAATAGAACGTCACTGTTGACATTTTTGCAAACCTCTTTAATGTCTGGCTTAATAGAGAGCAGCTGAATTCTCATATCTGCTTCTGGACTCAATCTGTTGCAACATGTTTTTTGCTTAAAGTGTATGAAGGAAAAGAGAAAAAAATGCAACTGTAATTGGAAAAGGAAGGGGTATTTTAGTAGCCTTTTCAGATGACTGTGGATCATCTTTGATACTATACCAAAACTCAGTAAGTGATAGCTTCTTAAAGGTCACCCTGCAGTGTAAAATCTGTAACTGCGTCCTTGAACATTTTGTTCTCTGTTACATGAAAATCCACTGGTTTATCATGCACTTTGAACAGATCTCTTACCCAGGCAAGGCTTTGTTAACATTGTACACTGGTCATTTGGAAAATGTTGACTCCCTGAGTTGTACAAATTTTCCAAATGTTCCCACTTCTGTATATAATAACCACCCCCCACCCCACCCCCGGCCGCAGGCTGAATTTCACATTTGTTAGTAGCAGCACTTTTTTCAGAAAAGTGCTTAGATACTGAGAAACTGTGAAATTCATGGTGGTGGATGCAGATTTTCTAAAATTTGAGTTTTCACTTGAAAGCTCAAATTTTTATTATAGGCAATAAGTATTGTGAGTTGTTTTCTTTGAAGTGACAGGTTTACTTAGCTTGTTTTGAGAAAATGTCCATTAAATTCCCAATTCTGAATAACCATAGTTTGTCAGTTGTTCTTTCAAGAAAAATGGTGCTACAGGAAAAAAAGCCAGTAGTGCCGCTCACAACTCAAACAGTTGCTCAGCTGCTTCTCTGGGACAACACTAGCAGGTCGGTGTGCAGCAGAAGTGCTTTCTGCACGCCCCTACTCGTCACACAGAATGTCAAAAAGGTGAGCATTCGACGGTCAAGATTTAATACAATTAATACATTTTAGTGCTCAATCAAGAACTTTTTAAGTGAAACTTGCTTTAAAAAAAAAAAGTTCATAGTGTTGAAGGTTACAATGACCACCTGTACAATGTGGGACTACTTATCTTGATGGATGCTAAGGTGCCAGCAGTTTTATACACCATTGCTTTCATAATTTGTGTAAATGTCAGCATATGAGAAAGGCAAGTAATGTCTTAGTGTTACTATAAATGCCCTTTGAGCTGAAAGTGTCTCAGGGACTCCCAGTGTCTAGGGATTACACTTTGAGAAGACAACGAAACATAAGCATTTGTATAAAATACACGTTCTGTCTGAACTTAACATCCAGTTGGACCCACAGACGAGCTGACAAGAAGCAGGTTGAGGGAAGGATCTATAGGCAGATACAAGGCATTTGTAATATTTTAGGTCTTGTTTTGGTCATGCGTGCATGGAGTTTGGCTATCTTATAAACCTATGCTGTTGTGTGGCAGCCACTGATCACATATGACTAGTGATCGTCTGAAATGTGACTAGACCCAATTAATATATGCTCTAAATGTAAACTACATACCAGATGTTGAAGGCTTCAAGTGGGAAAAAAAATGAATGTAAATATCTCATTAATAGTGTTTATAATTGATTATATGTTGAAGTGATAATCTTTTGGCTGTATTTGGTTAAACACATTGTTAAAAATAATTTCATCTGTTACTTTATATTTTTTTAAATAGGGCTACTAGAAAATGTAAAGCTACATATGTGTGTCTTCCCTTGTATTTCTACTGGGCACTACGGTTATAAATAAATTCAAAGATAAAATAAAATATTGATTATAAACCAGGGCCAACCATAGACCAGTGATAATAAATGCATTACAAGCCAAGGACTATGTTTAACCGATTTGTGCCTATGACATCAAGGGCAAAAACCACTTTATTTAAACAGTGTGGTAAAGATTATTTAAATTTTGGATAATGACTTAGGTTGCTGAGTGAGCACAGCAGGGGGCAACTAACCCAGTCTTGGGGAGATCATAGAAAGATCTCTTCCTGGAGAAAGGACTGTCTTGGTTGTAACTAAAGGAAAATTAGAAAACTTTCAGGTGAATAAGGTGCAAGTAGGGAGGAAAGGAGAGGGCCCTCCAGGGAGAAGGAACAGAATTTTCAAAGACTCAGAGCCTTTGCTCAGAGCACACTTGGAAAACGCCAGAATTTATGCGGGCTATTGTAATACAATTACATCACCACCTGCAGCTATTTACATAAAATTCTGTTTTCCCTGAGGCACTTGTATACAAAAAAGATTTATTTTACTTTCCTGCATTTTTTTCTCAAAAGGATCATGAATTTAAAGTTATATATTTTAAAATCTGGGAAACATCCCGGCCTCATACTAAGAGATACTTTGAAATTACTGTTTAGTTTTATAGACACACGTGGGGTTTGGCTTATCCACATCTTGCCAAAAATGTGACCTTTTGTGTTCAGGATAGTAAAAAACCTGACTCCATAATACACAGAGCTGCACATGACTCTCAGCAAGAGGAAAAGTAAAACAATAAAAGTCTGCAAAGACATAAAAATCATATTATGCAATGACATCACATCAATCCTATGGTTAATGCCAAATTGAGCAGTGGGGTCCCAGTGTCAGGACCTTGATAATTAGCCACCTTCAGTCCAGTTGCTACTGTGTCAGTTGAGAGAACAGGCCCAGGTGAGTGGTGAAGACAAGATTTAAAGTGTCTCCTAATTTGACTTCTCCCCTCCTCCTTAGATGAAAATCATGGCTGAAGACCTCAATCTTTCAAAAAAAACCCTCAAAACCATAAAACAAAAACCTGGAGACTAGGACATCTTTAGCAGGAAAAAAAGCATATTCAAACCCTAAACCAACTACCTGAGTCCCCCAATTTACCTTGGTAACCCTGTCACTCAGACGGCAACCACAAACATGATCCTAATTCCCTGTGCTTTCCTGTTTACGGTCCGCTGAAGTAGACGCTTTGAGAACTGGGGCCCCATCTGCCTTAGCGTCATTGAGAACGAACACGTGTCCATTTATCCCAGGTGCTCTCCGTTCCCCATGAGGCTAAAGAGGACATGGCTTCGCAACCAGGCTTCCGTAGTGACGCCGCGGCCACGGCGGAAGGGCGGGGCTGGGGTCAGGGCCCCGCCCCCCGCCCCCTCCCAGCCCCGTGTGTGCTCACCTCAGGTTCCTTCCGCGGCTCAGCGCCCCCTCTGGGCTAAACTGGGCCCCTCACAGATACCATTTTTAGCTCTTACTGATAACCCTACGAAATGTTGTTGTCGTTGTCTCCACTTTACAAAGGAGGAAACTGAGGCCACGTACTCAAGTCCGTGCTGCTGGTAAGACTCAATTTGGCAGGGATTTGAACCCTACTTTGATTTCACTTCATGTCTGGCCTTCCCCTTCCACCCACAGATAGTCTCGTCTCAGGTTCTGGAATGCCAGCAGCTGGAAGAGGGGGATGTGTGTTTGGGGGCACCTGGAAGAAGGTGAAAGTGAAGAACAAATGGTCTTGGGGCTTTTAACGCTTCCTGAACACATGCCATGGGCCTGCCCTACAGCAAACACATTACTGGTTTAATCTGTTACCTGTGGATAGGATTTTTTACGGGGAAAGAAATCTCAGGCTTGGAGAAGTCATACATTTTGTACATTTGTGCCAGGCCTTGGAGCTAGTGAGTGGCAGAGGCTGAGTTCAGACTCTTCGTGAATCTGAGGTTCATACCCCTTTAAAAAAATTTTTTTTTTTTTGGATAGGCATTAAATTCATGTGGTTCAAAAAGTCCAAAAGACATTCAAAGATACGCACTTAAACAATTTGCTCCTGTGTCCAGCAGCACTCCCCCACCTGTAAGTGTCTTTTCTAATGCTGCTCAGTGCAAAGAAAAGCAAATACAAATAGGAGTTGCGTATTTTCTTCCATTTCTTATACAAAAGGTAGCATATTCTACACCTCCAAACTTTGCTCTTTTCACTTAGACTAGAATATAAAAGTAACAAATGGTGCTTCTCTGCTGTGTGCCAGACCCAGTTCTAAGCATCTGATGTATATGAACTCATTTAATGCTCTCATCAACCCTATGAAATAAGTACTAATTATTATCTCCATTTTATAAAAGATTGTATCAAGGCGCAGGTTAAGTGTCTTGCTCAAGATCACACAGCTGAGAAGAGATGGAGCCAGGTTTCTGACTTGGCTTCAGAGTCTGTGCTCTTAACCTCTACTCCAAGCTGCCTTTCTTATATTATGTATGTATATAGAAGATACATCATGAATACATAATATAGATCACATGTTATAAAAAATCTATTCACTTTTATATAATATGAATTACATATCTTCTGTATGGGGTGTTAAATATCTACTATATCAGTACATAGAGGGCTTTCTCATTTATTTACTTTGCTGATATGATGTAATAATTTAACCAGTCTTACTGATGGATATTTTGTTTTTTTCTCAATCTTTTGCTGTAGTAGGAATAATAATAACAACAGAATATGCTATAGTAATAATAATATAGAGTATAATAATATAAACATATATAACACAATTATAATATACCATTTTCATATATAACTGCAATAAAATATAACAATATAAATGCCACTATAAATATCAATATCAATAATATCAATAGAATATAATAATATGTATTTATAGTCTATTATTGTATTATAATATGCAATTGTAATATATATACACCACTATACTATAATATATAATTAATATATAACTATAATATATTATAATAAATAATATGCTAATATAAATGCTATGATAAATATCAAGTGCACATTCATTTTTTATGTGTGCAGGTCTGTCTGTGGGCTACAGTCTCTGAAGTGGGATTACTGAATTGAAGGCCATATGCATTTGTAATTTTGATAGCTAGTGCCAAATTGCCTTCCAAGGAACTGGTACCCTTTACCATCCCCACCAGTATGGACAGCACTTACACACAGTGTGCTGTCCTAAGACCCACACCTTTGATCACTGTACCATTCTGCCTCCCAAGGACAAATTAGTTTGAAAGCTGTTTGAATCCAAGGAAAACTAAGTTACATAAGAAAAGGTCAGAAACTTGACCTGAGTCATATGTCTGACTAGAAGTACTACCAATGAGAAGCAAAATGGAAGATACTTGTTAATTACACTCAGGGGAAGCAGTATAAAGACATTGATGCCAATAATTGAATTCCCATTCTGGAGAGCCTAGGTTTCTACACTGTTTGCTTCCTCTGCAGAGAGAGGAAGATAGTTGAATTCGAGGAAACGCCACTGGATCCGGAACACAGACAGGAAGTGTATGCTATCCTCTGAGTGTTGAGGAGGAGGAGCCGCTAGTCTGGGCTCCTGAAAGCCCTGTGAGCTTACATGAAATAAAAATGCCTTTTCTGGTTCCAACTCTGGTAACCTGGTTGAGTACAAATTTCTGGGAGCTGATCTAAAGGATCAAGCAGGACCCAGCTTCTCTTGTGGGCTGCACACACCACAGGAGCTCATAATGTGGGTAGAGGCTTCCAAGGAAATGCGCTGAGCTGGTGATGCAATCCTGGGTGATTTTGTCTTTTTCTTAATTCTTTTGACAATAATGTTTTCCAGATTTTTAATAGGGAGCACATATTACTTTTACGATCAGGGAAAATAAATAAAGGTCTTTGAAACTAAAATAGTTCTTTCTTTCCTTTTTCCTCCAAAACAATTCTTTCAGAACAGGCCAGCAGCCTTCTACATGGTGAGATTCAGGGCCCCAGGAAGTTCTTGGCTACCCCGAGGCCTTCCATCAGCCTTGTAGTGCCTGGGAACTTTGCAGATGCAAATCCCCTCTAAGAGGAGCATACTTTCCCTCTTCTCTATTTCTTCCTTGTAATTAACTCCTTCCTGGAATATACAGGTCCAGTAGGGATTCTGGTGGAGAAGGCTGAGGCACTTTAGACCTGAAGGGGAAGGAAGCACCGGGAGGCAGGGCAGAGGTGGAGCAAGGTGACTGCATGAATAGGAGTGAAAAGCAAGTGATGTGGCACCAACGACATTTCTTCTCTGACTTCTGCAGATTGTGTGCAGCCAGCCCTACAGTCACCATGGAGGAGAATCCACAAGAGAAAATCTTGACTGAGAGTGGATTGGTGAACCTCCCCTGCCGGTAGGAAAAGAAATCAATCCAGCCTTTACAGAACTTTGGTAAATACAGATAAAGATTCTAACAATGTGATTTGATTTTGGGAAATTTATTCTGAGGACGTAAGTTGTAATATGAAAAATGCTTACTGAAAGATAATTACAGCATTACTAATAAATCTGAAAAATAAGATATAACTTAAATGTCCAACAGTAAGGAACTAGTTACATAAATTAGGGTACATACACACAACACAATATTAAGCAGCCATTAAAAAAATTGTTACAATTTTAAATAGAAGCAATGTGCAAAAGTGATTTACTTTATTATTAAAATTATGCAAAAATATGCATCGAAAGAGGACTCTAAGGAAAGATACTAAAATGTTAAATGTTAGTCTTTGGGTGGTTAGGATTATGAAAATTTTAATATTTTTTCTTTCAATTTTCTATGTGTATGACTATTTTAAAATTAAAAAGATATACTTATCTAAAACACTATTACATTATTAATGATTAATGTAACTCTGAGTCTTAAAGTGGGCTAATTTTTTGCATCACCAGTGACCTAGTGAGAGTTTGACTCAGAATTCAGTATGAAGTCACTGAAGTCAATACTAGGTGCCAATAAAATGCTTCAAAGGGTCTCACTGGAAGTATTTTAAGTAATTGAAGATTCATTTTAATCAGTATAATTTGCATATAAGCAGTAAAAGAGTCAACAAAGCCCTTCATTTTTTTCTTTCCTGCTAAGTAGGTTAAACAAACTCCTACAAATTCTGTTTGTGCTGTTAGCTTGCTTGGCAAAATATACCCTCATAGAAAATTCATAGGTCAGTTTCAGATTGGACTCTTCTGGCCTTCATTGGATAATCAAAATTAGAAGGTTTTATTGTTCATATACATGTAGTTTGTCTAAAGCTTACTAAACCTGAATCTTTTCTTGGGGTAGTGACAGGGAAATCCAACTCTATAATCTTTACACCTCACTTACATTTTGTTTATAGTGTTTGGTACCATTTGCTAATGGTTTTATAAGTGAGATTTTACTTCCCTTTGTTCCCCTGGAAGGCCAGGATTTGAATTTGGTTGAACTGATTTCAACCAAGAGCCCAATGCAAGGCTGTGCTCTGGGGATTTATTAGCTGGTAAAATGAAAACAAAACAAAACAAAAAAGGAGGAGACAGAGTGGGCAGAAACATGCTCCAGACACAGCTCACTTACAATGTCGGAGAGGTAACAATTCGGGGTTATTTATTGTGTCCATGCCACTTACCAGGTGCTGTCTGGGTACCATAGGGATGCACCAATGAATAGGATATGGTCCTTTCCCAGGGGCAGTTGTTGCTTACGAACTCTATTATGCTACCTTATGCAGGTAGCATTGATTAGTAAAGTGAGATAAATATGAGACAATGGGGAGGAGAAAGGACTGTGGAAGTTAGAGAGGAGTCTGCAGATTTAAAGGCTTTGGTTAAATCTTACAATTAGTCCCTCTGAGTTTCTGTAAGACAAGTTAGCAAAACGGATTTTTACCTAAAATATCCAGACCTCTAAAATGTCATCAACTAATTTAAGGTTTTTTAAAAACATTGTGGCTTTGAATCAAACAATAAAACTCCACTGGACTGTGGTGGGCCACATATGTGCAACTTCTGTCTTTGAGAAACAGTCCTGTTAAATGACAAAACAATAAAAAATGTGTCTAATTGCAAAGCAATATGATAATAATACTCATTTCAGGTTTATTGGAAATGCTAAATAAGATATTGGGTATAAAGTACTTGGCAAAATGACAGCTCTTAATGGTTATAAATTAGTAATAAAAATTTATGTGCCAAGGATAGATGTAATCAGACAATGGAGTTACAGACTGTTCAGAGAAAAGTCAGAGTTTCCCTGAGCATTATTATAATAACAGCTTTATTGAGAAACAATTCATATACCATATAATTCACTCATGTAAAGTATACCATTCAGTGGCTTTTAGTATATTCATAGAGTTATGCAAAAATCACCACAATCAATTTTATTTTATTTTATTGAAGTATAGTTGATTTACAATGTTGTTTTAATTTTTGGTGTATAGCATAGTAATTCAGTTATACATACTATATATATATATTTTTTAGACTCTTTATCATTATAGGTTATTGCAAGATATTGAATATAATTCCCTATGCTAAACAGTAAGACCTTTGTTGTTTTCTAG